ACATACTGGAAATCCATTGAGAGTGTCTTTCCTAGACTCATGTTTCAAGTGTTTAAGTGAGCTCCCTCCAACATCCCTTATGAAATAAACTATCTACCTTAACATTGGAATGGCTACTCCACTGACTAAAATTTAAAACCTGATAGATAAAATCAAAGGGCAACTTCCTATAACAATGTATAAACATAGCAAAAACAATTGTTCTCCAAAATGAAATTATCCTGGCCTTTATAAAAATTGATCTCACCTCAAATCTAGCCTATTTCTCCTAATCTATTTTAATTTTCATTATAAAAATGATAATTTCTTCTTAAAAGGAACCTTAGATTTGCAAACTATGTGAGGAAAGTTAAAATCATTCTTAAAGCCACCACCTTAAATAGATTGTGGGTGACGTTAACCTACAATTAAACTTTGGTACATCTTGTTCTCATTTTTTTCTCTCCACAATAGTTTTTTTTTTCCCCAAATATAATCATGTTTAAAAATATTAATATGTGGAAAAGTATATAGAGAAAAGAAAATATAAACTACCAGAAATAACCACTTTCAAATAATCCCTAAACCCCTAGTCCTTAAGGTGACCACCATTTCTGCTCTCCCTAAGCATAACACAAATAGGTATATATATATATATATTTTTTTTTTTTTTAAGATTTTTTTTGACAGAGAGAGACACAGAAAGAGAGGGAACATTTGATTTCTTTTCTTTCTTTTCTTTAAACTTAGTTCCTTAATCTATGAGCTATGCTTTTAAACATTGTCAAAGATTCCAAACTTATTTGTCACATGTTTAAGTTTTAGCAAAACTAGACTGTTATCTGTCCAACATTTTCAAGTGCACATTTACATTTTTAAAGGAAATACACTTCTCATAGTCTTAAAGAGACTATGAGAAGTCTCACAGTCTTCTTTGAGAAGACGACTTCTTTCCACTTAGCCTCAGAAAGGCTTCAGGACTAACAAAATAACCAGAGCTTTGATTACCAGCAGGAAATCATAGTGGGCAGGAATAAAGAGGACACTCCTCATACAGGCCAAATCAAAGTGAAACAATCTGAAGATCCAAGCCTTAGTGGTTTTATTATTTTAGCTTTTTAAAGTCTCAGAACTCCAAGGTTAGCTTAAGTACAAAGTTAAAACACAGTTTTCAGTGCTGTGGGCTTACGCTCCAGGTGGACTGGTCACCATTCCACCATTCGTTCAGTGACATTGGGCAAACTGCCCCTTGCCACTGGTCATGAGCAGAACAGGTGAGAAAGCAGGGAACAAGCTCACCTCCCACCTGTAGAAAAAGAACACAAAGGACATGTCCTGCTGACAGTAGGTCAACAGAAACATCCCGGAGTATGACGAGCAACACAGATGTCAGTGTTTATATGGTTGTTTCTCATTAATAAGAAATATTGGATGGGGCGCTCCCTGCTTGTGTTCCCTCTCTTGCTGTCTCTCTCTCTGTCAAATAAATAAATATCTTCAAAGAAAGAAAAGAAAGAAACGTTGGGTGATACTTCCCAAGAACATCCACTTCTCATACTGATTTTTTTCCCCCACTAGAGCATTCCTCTGAGGCACAACACTGGTGTTATGCTATGACTTGGGATAAAGGGCATCACCTTCCCAGGGTGATGACTTGGGATAAAGGGCATCACCTTCCCAGGGCAGTTTCCTCGACCATAAAATGAGGAGAAAGACAGCTGGCCTCTTAGGGTTGTTGTGAGGAGCACCTAAGAGGCTTAGGACAGGGACTGCCCTTGGGAAACGGTTTCAGTATTAGCTGTTGTTGTTGTTCTATTATTATTATTCCCAGCACCGGCTCTCCTACTCCTGCTAGGACTATTATTACCACCCACTCCTGCCAGAAATGCCAGAATGCCAGAAATGGCGAGTGTTTTGGAATGAAAGGGGGAACTGGAAAGGTCTGTGGTCAGATCAGCCTCAGGAGTAGTCTGTCCTCAGGCTTTGCAATCTGTCTGGGAGGTTAGTATTTACTGTCACCGTGAAACAGTGAGTGTCTCAGATGGGGGGTACCACAATCCCTCCCCCCACCCACACCCCCACACACTTTCTGATACACCAGCACAAGATTCCTGTGCATCAGCTCCTTCAGTGAGCGGGGCTAAGCAAGGACCCAGGAGTTACACGACACCTTGGTGGCTCAGTCAGTTAAGCGTCAGCCTTCTACTCAGGTCATGATCCCAGGGTTCTGGGATCGAGACCCGCATCGGGCTCCCTGCCCAGCGGGGAGACTGCTTCTTCCTCTGCCTGCTGCTCCCCCTGCTCGTGAATACACTCTCTGACAAATAAATAAATAAAATCTATTAAAAAAAAAAAAAAAAAAAAGAACCCTGATTCCAGGGGTTAGGTGTGGAAAAAGGCAGTGGTGGCCCTGCTCCCTGGAGCCTTTCTGAAAATCCTACAAAGCCTGAAACTGCAGACCAGGAGCCCAAACCTCCCCAAACGGGCACCGTGAAGATCTGGACCAGGGGGGTGTAATGCAAGCCACCAGGGACATGAACGGATTTACTGAGGTTCAGCAGTCAGAAAGCGTTTCTTCTAAGATCACCTTTCCTCCTACATACTCATTTCTTTCCTCTGAGTGCCTATCTTCCACAGTCAGTCAGTGCTCCCAATGCTTGGGGTGTGGGCCAATTCATACTAACACCATGGGTCCAAAGATTTGTCTCCAACCTTGAAGCTCTCAGTGTTTGTCAAAGAAAATAAGGATCACGTGCTTCTGCGTCACCAGCTAGGTTGGTCCGATTTAAAGATTTAGGAAACACCAAGACTACTCCGAATACCAGCAAGAAGGCAGGCTTGGTCACAAGTGATCCGCTCAGAGTTTCACTTAACATTACATGGTATGCAATGAGAAAAACACCCGTCTCTACTTGATTTCAGGCAACAGGCAGAGGCGTAACAAAACTAAACCATCCCAGCAAGATGAGAACAAGAATGACAGCAGGTGGTCCCAACCTAGAGTCAGGAAGAAGATCTGCTCAGACACTTCATCCTCAAATTACCATTTCTGAGCACCCTACTGTATGGTCTTTTTTTCCTTCCCCATGTTTGCGGGAAATTATTTTGAATGAATATTCTTTGGGAAGACCCTAAAATCTGGCTTTCTAGGGAGTTTCCCCTCTTATTCTATACCTGTCACATTTCTTTATTTGTGCTTCTACTCGGTAGTATTGATTGGTGCTCTCTCATTACAAGGCTGGGAAGCCCTTGGGAACGCAGAAACAGACCTCCCAGACAAAAATGAGTTTTGTGTGAGCTTTTTCAGACTCTTATCTGTGCCAATTAAGGAAAATAATTAATGAGCAAAATATTCTTAACATTGTTCTTTGTTAAGTGGGTGCCTGGGTGGCTCAGTGGGTTAAAGCCTCTGCCTTCAGCTCAGGTAATGATCTCAGGGTCCTGGGATTGGCCCTGCATCCGGTTCTCTGCTCAGCAAGGGGTCTGCTTCCACCTCTCTCTCTGCCTGCCTCTTTGCCTACTTGTGATCTCTACCTATCAAATAAATAAATAAAATGTTTAAAAAAAAAAAACACACTGTTCTTTAAAATCATGGGACAGCTATAATCACTTTGACAATAGTCTTCCTTTAAGTTTGAAGTTGAGCACATTTAATATTAATAGTATAATGGTGCAAATATGCAGTGAGAACATATATTAAGTTATAGTAGTCTTTTTTTTTTTTTTAAGCTAAAATGACCTACTGGATTTGCTGTTAAAAAAAAGATCTACAGAGGCAGGGGCAATAACTTAACTGGACTGTTGTCTCTCAAGGTATAAAGAACAGTCAATTTTGTAACCCTGAAATGGCATGCGGCCGTAACTTTACAACTTCAGTTTCAGCAGATACGGAAACTGTGATCCTTAAGGAACCGCAGTCCTCAAAGATGTTTTGAAAGTTCCTTTTTGTCTCTCTTTCCCCTCAATTTTATTTTTTTAAACAGGGAGGAACATGGAAGAACAGATCCTTTCTTAAGACACTGTCTTTCCCACTGGGGGAAGAAAGGGGCAGAACAAAGCAGCAGTAACAGAAGCGCACTTGCATTCTTTAGAAATACAAATACATTACCTCGAACTAAAGCACACTTAACGTGAAAACAGACTATCCCGTAGAGTGTTCCAAACTTTCAAACGTCACCCAATTTAACTACTCTTGCAGAACAATTTCACGCGGGGTTGCTTTGGTGACAATAATAAAGGTGAAACTGCTCTCTAGGTCTCTAATGAAACTAAAGAAGATACGTTCTCAGCACTTACTGCTATTCACTGAATTTCATTTTGTTACTATTAGCAATACTTCAGTGTCTTACAGGGCACACTCCATCGTCAGTGGGATTTACTCCAGAAGTAATCTCGGATTCCGAGGAATTACATAAGAATAAAAACAGGGACAAATAAAGAAGGGATTCAGCCCAGCTTGACCCACCTGTACACTCCGCCCACATGGACAGTTACTCGCGTAGTTTATGAGGCACTCTAGAAAAACGCCAGACTTTCTAGAGAAAATAACAGTGATATTCGGTTCATTTTAACTACGAGAAGTAGGCCCAAGGGAAAACTGCTTCGGGCAATCACAAGGCTGTGAGGCACCACGGCTGCCTAGGGTTCAAGAAACCTACAATCAACCACATATAAAATCACAGTTACAACGAGAAGATTTAATGGGGTGGGGGGGTACCCAAAGAAAGGAATTCAGAAAAAGGAACTGAAAATGCTTACAAACAAGTACAAACTATCAATACAACACACACATGCCATTTCATCCTAGCCTGCATGTGCCTTTAATATTGCCAAACTATGCATATATTATAAGGAGAATCCTAACCTCCAAACCTCCCCAGGAGCAACCAACTCACATTATTTTCTAAAAGAACACGGCAATGCCACAAATGCTGTGCTGACTGTCATATCGCCGGGGAGGACAGAAAGAAAATTGAACACATGCAGCAGAAAGTTCAAAATGTTATTTACTAACCTGGTGGTGCCCCTGGGAAAGTAGTCGCTTTCATACTGCTCTACACAAGGAATCTTTACTATAAAACTAATCTCCAAAGCAGCTGATAGCCCAGAGGGGAGGAAACAGGCTACCCAGACAAACACAAGGAAAGCAGTTTGTTCCCAACTTGGCAACTTAAAGTCATAGCCAAGCCCACAAAGTACTTCAGCCTATAAGCCTTAGTAATGAACTTGAAACCACTCCCCATATGTTAAATAGACACTGGGCTGCTGTGAGAATGAAAACCCACATAACACAACTGAGCAAAGGCTCCAGGCTTCATTTTTGAACTTGCTGCCTAAGAAAACCGTAACACACAAACTTAAGAGAACACTCACTCCTTTCTCCCTCTTTGGATACTGTATTAAAGCGACTCATGCATTTTAAATAGGAGGAATACAGTCTCACTGACCGCCCCCCCCCCACCGCCATTAGAGCCAGGAAATGAATTTTACAATGTTGCCCAAGTGGTTAAGTGGTGGTGATAAGTACTATGATTTCATTTTACATAAAGAGGGACATATGAAGTTACTATTTCTGAGAGAATCCAAGTCACATACTGTTTTCAGGTGGGGGGTAGCATTAATTAAGCCTAAAATCTCATTAATTATTCTAAAGTTCAAATCTACTTAAATTCAAAAGGAATATTTTAAAAAACCTTCTAGGAGCGCTGGGTGGCTCAGTCGGTTAAGCGTCTGCCTTCTGCTCAGGAAGTATTGGGACCAAACCTGGCATCATCAGGCTCCCTATTCAGTGGAGAGCTTGCTTCTCCCTTTCCCTCTACCAATTCACTCCACTTGTGCTCCCTGGCTCTCTCTATCCTTCTGTCAAATAAATAAATAAGTAAATCTTTAGGAAAAAAAAAAAAAAGAATCTTCTAACTTTAAGGTTTTTTTTTTTAATTTGAGTGTAGTTAACACACAATGTTACATTAGTTAGAAGTGTATAGCATAGTGATTCAATATTTCTATGCATTATGCTATGTTCCCCACAAGTGTAGCTACCACCCGAGGATTGGATCGTTCTAACTTATGATTCGGATTTAGTGTCTGTAAATCTAAAAGTCACTCATAATTCAGTTTCACCATCTACATTTTGGTTTTATTTAGGAAAAAAAAGACTTTTTGGTAGTATTATAGTTTATTTTAATAGTTTAAAATGGAACTGAATAGGACTCTCCATGGTTTCAAATTAAGAAATTTGAATTTTATTTCTCATTCTAGAAATACGCATTTGATAATTTCTTGAAGGCATTTAGATCTTAAAACAGTTCATAATGTTCCAGCACCTTGCTCAAGAAATAATGAAAATCCGTGCTCTGCTTTTTAACGTGACGTGTTCACAGTACCATATATACAGTCTGCTCCTAGTTTTTAACTCCAAGGACAGTTTTAATTGTCATAGCTTGCTTCCATGATTTCCACTTTGTTTAAAGAAGATCTATTTAACAAAATGGTCAAGATTACCTAACTCTGTTGTTTCTTCTAAGCCAAAAGATCAGACCAAATTTTCAAGGAAAACTCGATTCACTGGTTGCCAAACAAGATTTACATGTATTGCCGGTAACATCAAGTTACTCAAAACCTGTGAAACTTAAGCCATCGACATATAAACACAAGATCAGGCATGAAAAACTTGGAGACTCCCAAGTTTTGGGGAGTGCCCTCACTTGCCTCCCCCACCCACTCCCAGGACAGGGTTCAACAGTTTCTCATGGGGTCACTTTAGAATGACAGGGTCAAGACAGTCACCTCAGTGAGAAAATGAGAGAAGAGGCTGACACCTTAAAAAAGAGCCAGAACCCCACCTGGTGGCAAGACCAAGAAAACGCTGGAACAGTTAAACCTCAGGGGAAATATAACTCTGAAGCTGGAAGAAAAACAAAAACGCAGAAAAGGATCCGTTGTGAGTACATTAATGTCACACACAATGTGTGGTAAGGATCATGGAAAGTTTTCCACCCCCCACAAGAGCAAAATATTTCTTGAGGATACGAAAACACTCATGCAAAAAAAAAAATAATAATAATAATAATTACCCTGAAAACCATCTCTTTCATGTGGATCTGGTCTATAAACATATACAGTGATTTACATTCCTGGAAAAATCCTCTGATAAGTAATATTCATCTTTCCTTTACCCAAAAAGCTGTGATAAAAATGCCTGTGAGGTCAACATCATCTCTGAAATGGAAAAAATGTGGATAAATCCCAACCTAACCAGCTAAGTTCTGGTGGGACAGTGTCCATCACTCTGTTAAAAGGCTGTATCCCTAAGATTGTTCCTGTCTCTAGTCAAAAGTATTTCCTTCTGGGGCACCTGGGTGGCTCAGTGGGTTAAAGCCTCGGCCTTTGGTTCAGGTCATGATCTCAGGGTCCTGGGATGGAGCCCCACATCATCATCTGGCTCTCTGCTCAGCAGGGAGCCTGCTACCCTCCCCACCCCACCCCCCCACCCCCGCCCGCCTGCCTCTCTGCCTACTTGTGGTCTCTGTCTGTCAAACAAATAAATAAAATCTTTAAAAAAATGTATTTGCTTCTGCTTGACTTATTTCACTCAGCATAATCTCCTCGAGGGGGGGTGTGGGGGGGATGGGTGAGCCTGGTAGTGGGTATTAAGGAGGGCACGGACTGCATGGAGCACTGAGTGTGGTGCATAAACAATGAATCTTGGAATGCTGAAAAAATAAAATTAAATTAAAAAAATAAATAAATAAAAGGATCATCCATAACGGAAAAAAATCTTTCCTTTCGTCTCATATAAGTTATTTCTGCAAACAATCCATGTATAATATCAACCTCAATGGAGATAAAGAATAGTTAAATTCTGGGTTTCGAATTACACTGGAGTAATAAACGTTAGAAAAAAATAAAAGTGGCGTAAGATGTGATTTTTAAATAAGCCCAAGCCACACTACTGAAACTAAAACTAATAATACTAGCAGCTACTATTTAAGCTTTCACTACAAGAACTTAAGTGGTGGGCAAGGTTCTAAACTTCCTCACAAGTAGTAAATCATTTACATCTCACCACTGTCTTCTTATACCAGTTTTATAGATGAGAAAACTGAGGCCCCTAAAGGGTAAGTACCTTGCCAAACCATGAGTGGTGGAACTGGGATGAGAACCCAAGCAGTTTAGCTCTGATGTAAATGCTCCTAACCATGTACTTTATTAATTCCGCCCTCCTGAGTGCACACCACTTGGGAAATCCTGCCAGATTCTGGTCAGATGAAAGGGAGGAGCAGACGGGAGAGAACTGTTCCACGGACAGTCCTCACAATGGTGCAGAGTGGGAAAGGCTCTGGAGCCAAGCAGCCACGCAACTGAGACCAGGAGGCTTCATGGCAGGTAAGGGATCCCCAGCAGAGGGCACCCACATAGTCTTCCAAGGCAAAGAGGGAAATGGGGAACCACGCGGCCGCTGGAGGGACCACAGGGAGCAGAATAAAATGCTGCAAGGGCAGCAGGGGTCCTCTGATGTCGATCTCACAGAGGCAAAGAGGCAACCAGAGAGTTTTAACTGGAGGGTGGCCAGATATGCATGTTGGAAAGAGAAGTAAGGAGCCAGGCCTTATAGAGGAGTAGAAATTAAGAAGACGGTCCAGGGAAAGGAAGGGGCAGACCAGTGCTTTCAAATGTACAAGCTTACACTTTCCCAAGTGTTACCAAGGAGGCCGGGGCCCTAATGCTGGCAGCAGGGGTGCTTCCTAGCTCTCTTGAGGAAGCTAGGTTCAGGGCCTGAGCCGCAGAGAGTTTGTTGAGGCCATCTGCAGAGCTGGGAAACCAGGAGGAGGAGCAGGCTGGCGGGAGGAAGAGGCATAGCGGAGCCAAGCCCAGGAGCCGGACTTTGGAGGTGGAGCTGGAGGTCCCACAGGCCAGCCAGGGTGGACGTGCAGGAGAGAGGTCTGGAGCTCCAGTTCCTGGCCTGCACAGAAGGGACCCAACTAGCAGACACTGCACAAAAGGATGGAGGACTGTGGCTGGAGGGCAGCAACAGGGCACAAATGAGTCTGCTCTGGAGAGCACAGGGCATAAGAGTAAAGGGAGAAGTTTTGGATTTTTTTTTAAAAGACTTATATATTTTAGAGAGAGTGGGTGAGCAAATGGGGGAGAGGTGTAAAGAGAGAGAAAATCCTGAAGCAGGCTCCTTGCACGGAGCCCTAGACGGTGCTGGAGCCTAGGACCCTGAAATCGTGACCTCAGCTGAAGTCAAGAGTCGGAAGATCACCCAAGTGAGCCACCCAGGCACCCCAAGGGTGAGGTTTTAAGGCAAGCGGTTTCTGAAGATCTTGGACAGAATTCAGGATGGGGATGGGGAAATTTTTTGTTTTAATTTTTACTAACCTCCAGCTGAACTTGAGCGTTCCCTTCCATTACAAATGTAGGCAATGATCCGCAGTAAAAGGAGCCATACCTGTGACTCGTCACAGTAAAAATCAAAGGTGCCTTCATATCACATCACAATTACTGCAGACAACTCAAAGTATTTCCATGCATCAGTACATCAAATTATAGTAGTTACTACACCTGCCACTAGTTCCTGATATGTAATGTGTTAATAAAGGATATATATTACACTAGTACATAGTTTTTGGTGTATGGGTAACTGTATATCAGTATAATTGGTTTCCTTTGTAATCCAATGCATTCTAACTTTATGCATTTAAGTGTAGGCATTTAATTTTATGCATTAAACATTATTCTGAAAAGAAACTCATTAACTTCACTAGCATGCCAAAGGCACCCCACAGCGCACACACAAAAGTAAAGAACATCTTGGGGCACCTGGGTAGCTCAGTCAGTTAAGCATCCAACTCTTGATTTTGGCTCAGATCATGATCTCAGGGTCATCAGATCAAGTCCCACTGTGGCGAGCTCCCCACTTGGTGGGGAGTCTGCTTCAGATTCTCTCCCTCGGACCCTGCCCCTGCACACACTTGCTCTCTCTCACGTGTGCGCGTGCTCTCTCTCTCTCACACACACACTTTCTGTCTAAAATCAATAAATAAATCTTTAAAAAAAAGGAAAGAACATCTATCTGATTTAAGGGGGAAAAGAAGAAGAAAACAGAAAGGTATTTTTAAAAAG